AAAGCCTAAACCCTAAGCCCTAACCCACGCAAAACCGGGCCTGGAGGTAACCTTGCGACACGTTGTCCCAGGGAAGGTCACCATCTCGGAAGGGTCAAGAATTAACAGCTCTAGGGCCTCAAGGCTCATGTTTAGGGTTTAGGGTTTAGGGTTTAGGGGTTTAGGGTTTAGGGGTTCAGGGTTCAGGGTTCAGGGTTCAGGGTTTAGGGGTTAGGGGTTTAGGGTTTAGGGTCGCTGAAGCCGCGGGGGAAGTGAATTCAGGTGCAACTACGAAGGTCTGAGCGGGGGCGTGCAAAAGCTGATTCAGACGGATTCACCTGCCTATTCCCCCATAAAGCTTCTGAGGGCTTTGGGTTGTGTAAGATGACGCCTGACTCTGCAAGCTATCCGTCATAAAGTCGTATACGATTTTTGCCGGTATCTGCCTGAGAGTGCGCAGCGTACATCTGTGCAGACATCAAGGCAGAACGTGCCATGACTGAGCCTAAGCCGTTTTTTCGGCATTGCACCTGGCTGAGGCCCCGTATTCCAGACAATCCGCTCCAAAGGAAAATCATTAGACCCTTCACTGTCAAGCTCGCGGCCCTTCGAAGACGAGCATTTCACAACCTTTGAACACACCCTGACCACACTTCATATGATTCTGAGGCAAGTATAATGATGGGATCACGCCCTTCGACAAGTCATCCTCGGGGTTCAATCACGCACCTGACAATGCAAACCAAGTCTTGGGCCCCAACCCACGATCACTATGAAGGGCTCCGAGGACGACATGTCCTGGACTGGCTGCGACAGGCCTGAGGCAAAACTCAATTCGGACAGCCCCATGCAATCTGCACCTGCAAGCTGCATGCCACTCTCAAGGGCTGTTCTCTAGATGAGCCACGGTTTAGGGTTTAGGGTAAACCGTAAACCCTAAACCACAAACCCTAAACCCTAAACCACAAACCCTAAACCCTAAACCCTAAACCACAAACCCTAAACCCTAAATTCGGAGAGGGCATTCATCAACTCGATCAGCTCTCTTCTCCTTCTGCCTTG